GGGATCTACTTAAGTAATTGTATGTAAGTAAGTAAAAGCCATGGAAGGGATGCCGCTGGGTATTGCTTTTCCTCATGCCTTTTTATTTATTTATTTATTTTTTTTTTCATGACTGCCAGCACATCTGCTGATTGTCGATAGTTGTAATTGACAGGTGCGGATAAATAAATGAAACAGAAAAAAAATACATAGTTTCTTAATGTATTTTTTTTATTTTACTTGTATTTTGTAAGTTTTCAGGAGTGTTAACCTTCCGCTGGAATCCATTAGGTCGTTCTTAAAGTCTTGATAAATTGCTGTTCGTTGCTGGTGGATTCAATCGATTGATCGTATCCTTCGATGAAATTTATGAAAAACTGTCCTTTATTATTATAATTATATCCAGAGAGCATTAAACTTCGGTATATGCATCTACATTGTTGTCCTTGATTATTATTATTTGATCACTCCCTCCTCCTAGTCCCGCATAGCCTGGTGCTGATGTACTATGACAAGGTATACTATCTCCTCAATATGTACGTTAATTGGTTGGGGAGTGCTCACCTTGATGGTGGAGGCAGCCCCCGTTTCCAGTTGTGCAAGCGGCCGGATTCTCACGGCTGGTCCCTTACCCCAACCATTGTATCCTTAAGGACCTTCTCTAAAGACTCCCATTAACATCCATGTCCTCTTTGTTGTTTGGTTGCTTCTTCGGATACCTGATTCACCGTGATTCTCTTTACAAATGAGTTTATTGTAGCTCTAATCGGCACGAATAGAAACAGATTATTTACAGATATCACCTCGCTTCTTGAAGGTTGATGCTTGATAATAGGAGTTTTCATGCACTTGTAAATTCTCAACGTGCTATCATGCTAAATTAGCATAAATTTTGAATGAATGGTAAATAACCTATCTGTGCTAACGTGCTAAAGTATTATTAGTTAAAGTAAAGTTAAATTAAAGTTATGCCTGTAGTGTAAACAAAGTTTATGAGTTCTTAATTGATCTACTAACGTTTCAATTTATTTTTAATGCCAAAGCGAAATGAAAAGACTAAGTTGCTGGATTATTTTGTTAAAAATGCTTTATTATAAAGCATGAATGAAGATTCGGATGATTCAGAAGGCAAAGAACTTGATGAAATCCTAGCTTTTCAATACATTCAATTTCTTTGGATATTGTACACAAACTAAGAATCTAACACGTTAAAACTTTTCGATAACCTTCTCCGCACATTTACCAAGTTTGAAACACTTTACAATACCCTAGGTTAGTTAAACTCGAGAGTGCTACTGGCCATATTTAATATTCAATTCGAAAATAATTTTCTTTGATTTACACATTTAAGAGGTTTATAATACTTAGCACTTGTTACAAGAGTACATGAATACATTAAAGAACCTAATTGTGTGTAAAAAAAAAAGCTACCAAAGTTTAATAAACCGGTCATTAACCGGTCACACATAGTAAAAACAAAATGACATTTTAAATCCAAAAGATTTTTAGCATCTTTAAGAATCCTTATTCGTTATTTTTTTCTGGTTTGGCAAGAGCAGTGCTCTTCAATGGATTTGAACAAAACACAAAGGAATTGAATACATCTCCATTTGTTAGTGCCTTTTGCTTTTTCGAGAATTGTATAGTCCATAAGATCGACGATTTCTCTTTCTGCTTCTTTTCTTGTTTTTTTTTAGAATTCCTAAGAGTAACATAGATGGAGGAAATTTCTTTCTTTTCAATCTTTCGTCTCTCATTTTATTTCACTTATGTTCATTAACTTTTTTTTTCAATCCTTTGTTATTCTTGCATGACAGAAAAGATTAAATAATATTATGTATTAGTTTATCTACGTTCAGATAAGAGTTAGATGTTTGTTAGGATTTTGAACATCATTTCCTTCATTAAATTTGCATAAAAATTAGCAAAACTATAATGGTTCGTTAGGTGTTTTTATATTTGTCGTTAGGTCTTTTGAATATGTCTGGAGTAATACATAAAAATTTCCTCTTTAATTTATTTTTCATTAAAATAATATATTTTTTTAAGTTTAATGGTGTTGATATTTGCTATTTATATTAATGGTTCTGATAGTTACTTTGATATCAGGGATGAAATAATGTCGAACCGTACAACATTACATTACAGTGAATTTATTGCTCAGGCGAACGCTACATCATTTTACCTTTTAATAATTTTTTTTCCATTGAGTTAAAGAAACCTCATCGTAGATACGATGCATCACCGAGGAAATCGGTAGAGCCTTGGCATAAAGAGAAAGGATGCTACGATGGTTTAAAGGGATCCCGCAATCAAGATTCGTATTAAAGTGAAAAATTCAGCGAAATCGTGCTGAAAAAATCCTATGGGTCAGCTTTAGTAAGTTTGGTCTTGGGCAATTTCAGGAGATAACATTTTTAGAAACCTGCATCTTTTTTCAATGTTTCGGTAAAAATCTCGTCGAAACCGATTTAAATAAATCGTAGCCTTATTTATTTTTTGTATTCGAAATATGTAAAAAATATTAATTAATTTTATATAGTCATAGTATTGTTAAATTGGATTTTTGTTTTGGTTGTGATTGCAGCCTTTTGAATTATTATTACGTTCAATATTAAATATTAATACATAATGTAATTTATATTGACATTTAAGACTATAATAATTACAATTATTACCAGACATAGTGTTGCGTATTTAGCGTTGACCTGTGTTTAAATCTGTATAAAATATATATACCATTATTGAATATTTAATAGTTGACCATTGGCAAAACTATTTTATTAAAAGACTGACTGTTTTATTATTTGCCACTATTTAGCCTTTTTATGACCGCCACCCCGGACCATCTCCTTCTTATATATAACATTAGTATTTTTTCTTTTTAAAAATTTTTTAACTTCATTCATTAAAAACTCTTGTGGTTTGTTTTTTATATAATAAAAATCATTAAAAATTTGTTGAACTAAAAAAAAATATTTTGGCCTGAAAATCAGTTTTAAAGAATAATGTATGCATATATTTTTACAATGTAAGTATTTGATAATTATTTATCTTTTTCCTAGATTTTATAAACATTATCAAAGAAATAAAATTATTTCAAACCATTTTATACAATATTATTTAATAGAAAACAATAATAAAATAAAACCTCTACAGCCCATGGTGAAGATTTTTTGGGTTCAGTACTTTGTAAATAAGTTCTGTTTTTTGGTCAACAGTTGTAGAAGGTGTTGGTGTGACAGAGGTCACCCTCAACCGCCTGGTTTTTGCCTTAATTAATAATTTAATTTAGAGTGTCCAATTCGTTGATACAAAGTTGTGTCCCCAGATGGTCGGAGCGCAGCAGAGTCGATCATTGGCTAAAATACAACGGGTTGTATCTGGAGCCATAGAGCACAGTGTCTTGTCTTACTCCTTTCCATAAATGCAGCCATAAAACGTTTAATCAAAATCAAATTTAAGGGTGTATTCTATTGTATTTTTTATTTCTGTAAAAGTTTCTTCGCTTCTCTTTTGTTTAATAATGAAATTCGTAGTTTTCTACTCACAAAAATCACCCTATTAATATTTTTCTGGTTTAAATCCATTAAATTTGATTCAATAGAGATATTCCGTAAGATGGGGTAAATTTAGGATTGGGTGGGTAACTTTGGGACAGCGGGTAAAATTTAGTTTGTGGTGATGCCGTCGTTGATACACTGCGTTGGTTCAATGCTTTGTATAGGTTCTGCGCTACTTCCTTGCGGCAGTTTGAGAGCCCTAGGCCAATAAACTTGTTGTGCACTTAGGTTTTATTTATTTCCATTGCTTATTTCAAAATTCTGTTTTCATGAAACTTTCGCTTGTGCCTGAAGAGTAGTATGTCGCAAGATAGTAGCGCAGTACATGTAGGCATGTAACACAACGCACTGTATCCACCAATCACCAAAAATTAAATTTTACCAGCTGTCGTAAAATTACCCCATCTTACAGTATTTTCTTTATAAATATAAATATAAATTAAGCTGAACTTTTAACAACCCGATGTTAATTTTTATTTTTTTATAACAAGTTTTGTAGAACTGAAGTGCTATTTATTCAATTCCAAGTCCATAAAAAGACCCATGATGAGGTTAAGGACATTTTGATGTAGAAAAAGTATTTGAAGTTACTCATATCCGCCTGGTTAAAAAGTGACTAACCGTGGCCTATTTGTCCACAATTTTACAACCATGATTGATTATATGACTAATTATCTGACTCATACTGAAAGTGATAGATATTCCTCTTTTATCGTAGACAATCAATTAAGAAAGGGTAACATCTGTGTTAATAATAATTAGTGTGGAAGTTACCTTTTAATGATTCTCGATAAAATGAATTGATGATCCATGTTATGCCTCTTACTGGCTTGTTCCTTGGATGGCACCGTTAATCCTCCTGTATTTTTTAACATCATAATAAATCATAATTTGAATATATTTTTTTAAATCAGTGGTAGTTTTGTAACCTCTTCGTGTAGCCATGATTAATATAATACAAAGAAGATAGGCGAACGGATCTTGAACATTATCATCTCCTTTATTTTTGATTTAGTACGTCTCCGTTGAGGCAAAATGATGTATCACATAGTTTTGTTAGGTTAGTCACGATTTTTATTAAATAAGAAGGAATTGTTTAAAAACTGTTCAAGATAATTAAGTACTCCATCTCAAATAGACAATTTTTTTTTTAGAAAAGAGTGTTTTCTTTGAACAGTGATTGATTGAATTCAATAAGGTCAATGATAAAAGGGGCTTTAAAGTTATGTCGTTCAATGATTAAAGGAACTTTTAGGTCTAATACGACCGCTATACTGCTGTAGTTACACTTCCAGCAGATCTGTATACAGCGGACTTATTAGACCTCCTGAGACCCAACCAGTGGAAGAGGATCGTCGGGGAGGATTCCATCGAAGAATGAAATGGGCGGGTGGGTTGCTTGCCAGAAGGGCGCAACTTTGAGAAAGTTCTTCCCCACCTTCCACTCAAGATTAAAAGCTAAATGGGTGTTCCCCGACTACTGAGTCCTGCAGATCCTAACAGGACATGGAGGGAGGGTTCCGGCGAAAACTGCACGCACATAGGAAGAATAACTTGGAAGAACACTCTACCAGGTTGTCGAGAAAAACGGGTATCTTCACCATCGCCGAAACGGACTTCCTCCGACTTATGGAAGGGACGAACTACCCCTTCTTCATAGAGATTGTCTATGGGTGGAAGAAAGTGGTGTGGGTCTTCGAAGTTTACTCTCGCCACCTAATATTGGGGAGACACGTGAGAATGAGGCACAAGATGAAGCTTCGCGAGGATCGGACGGCTGGACGTCAACCAGGACGATGCAGACTATGCCATGCGATCGGTCAGAGGATAAGGTGCGGCTCCATCAGTAATGTGCACATCCATGGACCGGACTACACCACATTTGAACCTAATCTATTGTTTCCACATTAAACTATCTTTTTATGTCGTGAAAAAGTATTTTATTGGCAGTAGTGGGCGTGCGTATATCCAACGTACTAACCCACTACTGCCGAAAACGCGTTTGCAAGAAATGGCGGGTAGAAAAAAAAATATACATATTGGAATACTCGATGACTATAACGTAATGGTTTTTGTTTTTTCCCCCTGCTCGTATACAAAACTTCTTTTCTACATTTTTTTCACCTCGAAGGGTAATGGCATGAATAAAAGGGATTAACTGCGCTTTCTATCTTTTCGTTGCAATTAGCAATGTACTTAAACATGTTTTATTAGGGTGCGTGTAAGTCATTATTCATATTTGTAAATGTTAACGACGAGAGATATTGTATTATTCGTAAAAAAAAAATTTAGATTGGTGTTTGATCAAGAAGAGTCAGTTAATTCTTTTTCGCCTCTTAAATAATAAAAATAAGAGAATAAATATCAAGAGATTATTTTACCGCTTTGCAATGTTCTCGTAAAATCAGCAATTAAATGGAAATACTCCTTTCTGGTGTTATTTAATGTCATTAATAACATTTAATGTTTCCCAAGGAAATAAGGTCAACTATAAAATTATTGAACTATTACTGGGTTAAGAATAACCTTTCTTTCTTATTAAATACTATTTATTTAATCAGCCTTAAATTTGGATTATACGAGTTTTTTTCATACACATGATCAGTACCTAAATAACCAAGTAAGTCCGGTTAACTTAATAATGTTAGAAAAATATGTGGAAAAAAAAAAAGACTGAATACTAAAAAGATGGGTCTAGATGAGATAGAGTACAGTTTGCGTGTGGAAAACAGTCTTCCGTTTAGTCGACTTCAAAAGCTTAAAAGTTTGTCCCTGCGCTATATATATATAGAGAGAGACTGCAAATGTTATTTACGAGAATATTTTCTTGCCTACATCGATTGACGTTTATGATTACTACTCCATTTTTTCCGGTCATTTATGAGCAAGAAATTTTGTTCAATTGGATTTTGACACCATTGCGGGGTTAAACATACTTGTATCAAATTTATATCTACCGTTTATCAAACTTGCGCAAGAGTTAGCCTGTTTGTCAAGCCTGTTTTACTAAGCCTGGGATAATGCGAAAAGTCAGAGAAACTTTATAATCAATTTAATTTTATAGCTGTGAGATGTGATTATGAATTTGCTGTTATAATTCAGAATTATATTTTATCTCAAATAACAAAAAAAGTTATGCATACAGAAGTATATATTTATACATCACGTCAAATGTTTTATGCTTTTCATCGTTTCATTGTTTTAAATAAATATTTTATTTTTCACTTCTCGCTTTTTTATAGTTTCTTTATATTTTAGTTTTTATTTTCAAATATGCTGATTAATATGTATTTTTTTTTACGAATAGGATAGTTTATAATTTTTGTTTCATTTTTTACAAACATGAAATTTTCGTATTAGGCCTTCTATGCGGATTGCAATATTTTAAATGTTAAATATCATATCCATTATTATTATTGTTAACATACGCAAATAAAAATTTAGTCAGGAATGAGCATTTTTATTTCTTTTACTTTTCTTCAGAATAAAAGAGAATAATTTGTATCCTCGACTGTAAATTGTGTAAGAGGTCGCAATATAATTATTTTCTTTGTCGTCTGTTGCTATATATTTGAGGTGTGATTAACAAAAAATAAATTGAATTATTTATATTTTTGTATATATTTATATCCTGTTTCGACTACTTGAATTTTCGGAAATTTTCGTGAACATGTCCTGCAAATCCTAGAAAAGTATGGGGGAAAAAATATAGTTTCAGGAGACTCCTCCCTACGTAGCAGTTTTACTTTGAAGAATTCTATTAATAGCTTATAATTGTATTCACATAGCTGTTATAGTTACACAAGAAAGCCGTAATTACCTATATTAAACATATCTGTTCTAGATATTTATGAGTATTATTATAGTTTAATCGTGTTGCTATTAATCACTTCAAGGCGTGAGTAGAAGCGATGACCTTAACTAACTGCCTGCCGCAGTTGACCACACATCGCTTGGCAATGTCTGTACAGCGAAAGAGATTGTTTAATATATTTTCTAAAAAACATGGTTACGAAATAATTGATTTAAATATTGCAAACAGTTTTGGTGCACGTTTATTATTTGATCATTTTAATAAAATTGAATTCAGCTTTAATTTTACTGTATAATGACTTGAATATAGGTTGTTTCCTTTACAATGCTTATAAATTTTGCAACGCTTTCGTTCCCAATGCATTATTTATTTAACCATTGTTTCTTTAGAATATTAAACAACTTTTTTCTTCGTTGATATAAATATCGTATCTTTTTATTTTCATTTTATTTATTAGAAATTAAATTGAATTTCAATTAGTTGTAAATAATGAAGCATCTTAGTATTGTGATATTTAAAGTTTTCTTCATTTTACTTTTTTTCATCTCTTCAAACTTTTTAGCCATGATAATTTATTCAGAAATTGTATAAGAACAGTTTATACCGAATTATAATGTGAAATTTGACTTGGGTTTCGTTATCTTCATTGTAGTCTGTGGAATCTTACGACATGAGTTTTGGTATTACAAAAATGTATTAAGAGAGATATTGACAAATGCACCGCTTTTTGAATTTTGTGATAAATTATTTATTTGTAGTTACTATTTTTTTTTCCCCTGCGTTTTACAGACTTTAGTGGGTTTCATGACAACTGTAATTTTTAAACAGTAGGTTATTTGCTCTTGGTTTCGCAATATTTAAATTGTTGAAAATTAAATAATTGTATTTCTATTTTTTATTGTGTCTGGATAATCCCTTATTTGTGGATAATTCTATTTTTAAATTATGTTCATTTTTAATTAATTAATGATAGATTCAATGTACAATGAACAAGTTTTCCATTTCTATTTACTTTGAATCTGTTTTATACTTCTTAAAAGTTGGTCAGGCACTTTTTGTGAATTTTAATTATTTATTAAGTGTAGGAAAATATGAAAACTTACTAATTTATTTTTTTATAAAAACTTATCGATTTTTTTTAAGTTATAAAAAATGATGAGTGAGAGTCCACATTTAATAAAGCATAATTTCAAAAGAATTTTCATCTGTATTGGAAAATGTTATTTGTTGTATTGTAATTCTATTACCGCTATTAATTTAAGTAATTACTAAGCTTACAAGGAACTAACATTTTATTGACCTTTGCTCATCGTTTTTTATGGTTTAATTACTGCAATGTATTATTACCAGAGTTATAGTACCGCTGCTTTGCGGTCGCTATCATTAATTGTTTATGCAAAGATTGTTTACTTTCAGTTTCTTGCAGTAATTTCAATAAAATTTAATTATATATTGCTATTTACATACATCCAATATGGTCAGTTGTCGTACCAATTTATGCGACATGCTAATGATTTAAGAACAAACGAAAAATTAATATTAAAAAAAGGACTATAATTGTTATATTAAAAATGAAATCTTTAGGCTTACGTGTGTATTTATATGTTCATTGTTGTATTATAATTGAATTCTGTGATATATATTTTATATATATGGTAGTATTTTAATTTAAATTATATCTGTACCCCGAGATAAAGAACGACATGCACATTTTTGTATTTGTCCAGAGAAGTAAATTTTGCATTACTCTGAGCTATTTGTTTCTTAGCTACTAAATTCTTTTATAAAAAAATGGACATAGTGTCATTTACCTCCCAGGCACAGTATACATGTTTAATTTTAATTTTTTTTTAAATCGAAGGAGATAGATTGGTTTAAGAAATAATAATATTCGAGAAATATTGCATTAATTAACGTTTAAAATTGTCAATTTACATATAAATCGTTTATTAGTTTATTTATGTTTCCTCGCAATATAGTTCCTATTTATGTTTTTTTATCTGTCTGTAATAAAGATATTAACATTGTCATAGTAGCAATATACCTACATAATTATAGATATATATTTCATTAAGATATGAAGAAATACGGTTTTAGAGATTGAATGAATAAAATTACGTATTAATTTATAATCATAGTCCTTTTTGGACCTTGAGCACCGACAACGAAGGATTATTGGTATAATATCCTGGTTTGTAATAGGAAGTTGTATTTCTTCTTAATGGAATTTTGGTTTTGGAAATATCAAACGAAAAAACAACAACACGAAATTATTACACCTTGGCGTTATTTTTGTTTTCTATTTTCATTTATGTTATTTCCGATTTAATTAAATTTTCGTATAAACTAACTGTCTTGCCTGTTTTAAGGAAACAGCAATTAAATAATTACGATTATATCCTAAATTTATAATATTTTTAAAAATCTTCTACAAAATTCGAACTTAGATAATATATTATAAATAATAAAAGGCTTAATTTATATACTTATACCTGTTTTCTTACAGTATTGGTCTTTGAATAAATAACATTATTAATATAAATACATTGTTTTTTATTTATTACAACTAAAGATTTTCTTATAGCTAGCTATACGAAAGTATAAAAAAAATTACTTAAATTATTTTAATTTAAGACGTCTTAAAATATGTTTTTTTAATGTTTAACAATTTTTTTTTTGTTATATACATTTTAAAATACATCTCGTTTTTATATTATCCCCTCTCTAGTTTTTATTGCAGTTCTTACTGTGTTTCGTTGTTGCTCTAGTTTTATTTATTTCAAAAAAAGTAGTCTTACATCGTTGTAGAATATATGTGTTGTTTACAAATGTTTAAAATTTATTTGTATTGTGTATTAAGGTGGTATAAATAAATAAATATTTAATTGAATAATTTTTATACTGTAAATTTTTAAATCTACAGTTCTCAAGATGTTTATACACACTTCAAGTGCATGATTTTTTTTTCTTGTATAAACACTAGAAAAGGGTTTGTTATTAATTTTTTTTTTTTTTGCTCTCGAGAATTGAAGGCAAGGCATTTTCGAAGAGACGGTGTACAGTCAGAACAACTGATTTCGGTGTCCTCAGCCAGAGGACATTCCGATGTCCGATGTCTTGTGGCTGGCGGACACTCGACGACACGAATACACCTCTCAGAGGAAAATATTTTCCAGGAGTTCTTTGGTGACGACCCTGTGCGGCCGGGTGGGGTTGACCTTGGGCCTCCTGTAGAGCCGTTCGTTGATGGAGTAGAGGGACTTGGAGAGGCTGCAGCGGACGTTGAACCACCAGTCACAGACGAGGAAGGCCTGGGAGAATTGAGTTCCGTTGGGGCAGAGGAACGTCGCTTGCCTTCCGTCGATGTCGCAGTAGTGCCATGCTTGACAGCGGGTTTCGGTATCTGCGAAGAAACCGGGGTACTCCTGCTCGTCGCAATAGAAGTCGGTGTAGGGTACCGTACCTAGGACTGGGTAGTCTGTTCCTGGCCTCCCTAGAACAAAAATAAATTTATAATTGTGGGTTTATGGTTGTCTGTAGTGAATAATTGAAGAGAAGTATGATTGGGGTGTTCAGTCAAATTGAAATGGTAAAAAATAAATAGTTTTATTTACTTTAAAAATACAATAAAATTATTTATTTTTTACCATTTCAATTTGACTGAACACCCCATCCATCGTTCTCTTCAAAAAGAAATTTAGTTTCAACACTATCTAGATCTGGTTTTAATACCAACGGAACATTTTTAGTCAGGTTGCTGATGTTTTGACTTAAGCGTGTGGATCATCACCTGGGAAAATGTTTCTAGCATACCATCAAGAACTCCATTTTAATATTAGTGTCTTGAAAATATTATATATCAATTATATAAACAATAAATATTGTAAATACCAGTTAAAAAGTAATAAATCATTCGCTTCTGTGTACTTTGTTGAGTATTTATTTATTTTTAAAAATTTATTTTAATGAAATTTACAACTGTATTACATGAAAAATACAAATAAATGTGACATTGGTAACATGACATGTACAACGTGAAGAGAAACTACCCATTGGTAGAATTCAAATTAAAGTTCTATATTAGAAGGTCCCGAGGCCGTCTTCTTATCAGACGCCTCGGAGGGTTATCAGGATCGAGGAGGAAGCAAGGTTTAAAACGAGAGGGTTCGGATGGTTCTCCAGTTTGTTATGGAAGGATAGGTATCTGGATTGGGCCAAATCGGAAACATAACGAACATTAAGGCGGGTATTTATTAGATAACAAAAATAGCCTACACTCAATTTTTCTCGACCTTTGAGAGAAGCACTGTCTGTCTTTCCTTTTACTTATTGGTGTTAGGTTCACTAATTCGTATAATTACACGAAGTTAATGATTAAAGTAAAAAAAAAAACTCCATATACTAGAATTTAGTTTGACTGTAACTGTAACAAAAAACTTATTTATGACTTATCGTCATAATATCATATCTGTTTTTCTGTCTCCTTATCGGTGCTATACAGAGATGGGGAAATACTACTCTGAGTGCTGAGTACCAAATTTAACCGAATACTGAACTTTTTGAGTACCAAAGAATTTAATTACTACTTCAGTTGATGTCAAACGATTAACTGCAGTAGTGATTGAATTCCCAATAGTGATTCTATTTGAGTAAAATACTTGGTATTCGGTACTTTGAGTAGTATGTACCCATCTCTGGTGATAGATTCGCTAATCTGTACAATAGCATGAAATTTAGTGATTAAAGTAACAACTATGTTACTGTTATCTTCATAGAGAGGATTTTATTTTAACGTAAAGCTTGGATTTTTTTGGGACTAGGGAGTACTATAGTTTATTTTTAATATGAAATTTTCAGGCGGGCTTAAACATTTTTCCTATCAGACTACTTTCCTTTAGTCTTGATATAACAGTATTTCAGTCAGTTGATTGAAAATAAATTCAGTACACAGTCATCTCCTATTCTCTAAGTAACCCAGATTTTTGGTAGTCATAATATTGCAGTTGTCTCATTTTTACAGTTTTTGTTAAGACACAAATGTAATTTCGCTGATCCAGCTCTGAAATTCTCCTCCATCTTTCCGACTTTCACCGAACGTTCTCGATCCGAAATCTATACTGCCACTGATGAATAAGTATTTGTAAAATCTCGATGTTTAGAGAGGAACCTGGTGGATTAGAGAGGACAAAGTAGGATCTGTTTCGTGATCCTCAGGACCTTGATTGGATAAGGACCCGTTATAGGAGGCGGAAGCTGCAGAGGGAATCTTCCCACAGCAGTTGGTGTTGGGTTCTTCGCTCCCTTCCTTTCCTATCGTAATAGGCAGTATTACCTTACTCTACACCTGATATAGGCTAACAGTGTTAGTTACCTGTAATCTTGGATAATTTCTCCTATCAGTTCTCTTTGCTAGGATCTTGTTCAGTGTATGGTTTCAATACTTTATCATCAGTGATTAAGTTGCGTGTGAATGTGTCTGTTTGTGAAGAACTGCCATCTGGTTTCATGGCAACATTTCTTTCATTTTTATGGGACAAAACTGTAAGACTTGGCCATATGAATAGATGGCATGAACGCTATTTTTGATTAATTATCCTTTTAACTTATCATCTGGATAAAACTTCTTGCTGTTGGGAGTTTTTAAGAAAATATCTGTAGTGAAGCAATCGATCTCATAACAATATTGAGTCGTTTTTATTATTCATAATTTGTGTTATAACTTGCTCTCAATCGTATAGATTTCTTGAGGATAGACTCTGCGTATAAAAAACCTTTTAATCGAAATATTGCTTCTTATTTTTTTTAATTTGTCTTAATCTAGAATATTTAGTTAGGAAAAGTATCGCGGTCGTCAAAAAGTTTGAATTTATCTTTTTAGGGAGATTAAGGTATTAAGGTCGCCAGGATACAATTAATCAAGTCTTGCAGAACAGTTTAAATTTTGTTTTGAAATGACGGCCGCTTAGAGATTCTATATGAGCGAGTTATACAAATATATTATCTCAGCAATTTATGAGGATAGAGAAAAATAATTCAATCTAATTATTTTATATATAAGTATTTTGAAACAATAGATAGGACATAATATTATAATTCTCATTTGTTATTTTTCTTTATTGTTCTTGAACAGTAGTATTGAATATACGTGAAGGCATACGTGCCTCCTACCTGTTGCAAGACCAAGACTAGGACTGATGAAAAAAATCGATTTTTTTGAATAAGAAATAAGGCAAAATAGTTACTAATTCTCGACAATCTTAGTTACTATATGTAAATAATTAGTATAACCAATATACTTTTGCATTTAACTCCTCTAATTTTTCATTCGGGCTTAGTTAGGTTTTTCCTACCTAAAAAAATACAGTAATACCTATCTCTACAGTAATAAGCTAATAAATAACTGCAAGACAGTTGCGAGACTCTTGTGCAAGAACAAGACCGTGACCAAGACTGAGTATGAAAGACCAAGACTCGTCTCGGTCTCGCATTTGGACAATACTAGAGGTGCAGCATTCATTAATACCACCTCTTCTGGTGTTGATTAATATTTAAATATATAGATTACAATGATTAAACCTTGTATATAAATATGCTTGAGTAACTAAATATCTTAATTTGATTTCCTCCTATCCATGTTGTTTTAAAATCCTTATTCCTTACAGTATTATCTAATGTCTCGAATTCCAGTTTTATTTTAAATCTCATTCTTTTAATTTTTATTTAATTCTAAATGAGCTTAAGGTTGTTCGATTCAATGTGAACTTAATGAAAACTGGAGAATAGGCTCATCATATATCCTTTTTACTGTTAATTTTTCATTTCATTCTTATTGGTGTCACTCTTATTAAATGTTGGTGTCATTCTCTGTTTATGTCGTTCTTTATTTTATGTAAGTGCTCTCAAATAAAGCATTTCAGGATGATGGCTGTTTTTACGTAAGTGACCCGGAGCTCTAGACCTCGCACATTGAGTTATATGATATTTAAATAGTTAATGATTATCAAGTGGCCTATAGATCCAGTTGGACAAGTAAGTTACGTGCTGGATCCAGGGAAGGGAGCTTTCCCCGCTGGCCACCGTGCCCGCCGGATGACCTTTCGTCCCACCGCAAAGTAATCTGCCGCAGTGTGCTCTTAGCAAAAATATCTAAAGTATTTTCGCTCCGGTGCCCTCGGGAACTGTTTCGAAACTTGAAATGTCCGTAGTGCGTTTGGGATAATGGCTTTTTAAGAATAATAGCCTGCATGTTATGTATACACTGCTTGTTCGTCCACTTTTCACATTCTGTGTTCCCAAGGCTTATACATTACATTGCAGATTTCTAAGATAGCTTAGGATGAGATACGTCCACGTGAAGAGACGTAACTCCTTACCCTCCATACTTTTAATTTTTAATTATAGAATGCACAGTATTATTCTAAATCATTTTTTTTTTTTTTTAATTTCACCATAAATGTAAAACATTTAGCCCATAATGGTCGAGTGTGTTTCAGACAAGCGCTGCCAATTGAAATTTTTATCCTTGCGGATTCACGGAATGTATCGCAACCTTCTCACTCTGGTTAGAATATATTAATTATATCTGTGGAATAACCCACTCTCTCCTTCTTGTATCAAAAATGGCTAGTTAGGATGTAAAAAAAAATATGTGAAAATTTGCAAACATTACGTTTTGTTTTTCCAAATACCTATTTTTTGTTATTTCAGACTTTCAGTTAACAAAATGACTAACTCCAATTTCAACATTTTTAAGTAAAGTCATTTTAGTGATTTTTCAAGTTGTAAAATTTATAATATCTGTTCAGAAATTGAGTAAGATAATTCCAGAGTAGGTGATTGCAGTGTTAAAGTATAGAACTGTGAATAAAGATATAAATTTCTCCATTAGAAATATCACTAAAATTAAAAATGTTGAAATTGGAGTTAGTCATTTTGTCAACTGATAGCCTCATATACGTGATGTGTTAAAAAGGAGATTAATAAATCAAAAGCAATTCATCAATTTATATTATAGTTTTATGAGAAAATGTTTCTGCTCACATACCTTTGGTTTATATATATCGACTTTGTATCGTTGCTTTGTTTTTTCCACAATATTTTATAGCTTGGGTCCTAGTGCACTTCTACATTAATTATTACTGCATTGTTTTTTTCATTAATAATATGGTCAAATTGTCTGTATCTTCAAAATCCCTGCCATAATTACCCACATTTTCCTCAAAATATGTTTTTTTTTTCACTTCAAGAAGATTTAGAAGATCCTCTGGGGAATCATTTTTTT